AAGGACTTTGATATTATAAAGTTGTTTAAGAAAATATAATTCATATCCAGATCATGAATGTTTAGAATTCATATTATGCAAAACAATCTTTTTCTATACATGAAGATCCCATTAAAGCACCCTCTACTATACCTTTAAAAGAAAAGGCACGGCGAAAATGGAAAAGAGAGGGGGACATGGAGTGTCATGATCTTAAAATGGACGTGATGATACTTGTCTATTCCCACCAAGACAAGTCAGCCTCAACCCAATAAAATGAGAACAAGACAAAGGAGAAAAACTTATTCATTCTAAAAATACCCCAAAATCTAATTGTCACCGCTAGAAGGAAAGTTCTTAGGTAGATCACTGGGCATAACATATTATTTCCCTTTTAAGTAACTTTTATGCAAGGTTGTAGTGTCTCTGGGTAACCATTGCCTTCCCCCAAACTCACCCTAGTTACCATGAATGTCGGCTCCAACTTCTTGAGCCTCTTGATTAACTATAACGTAAAAAGTTGTGCTTCGCTCTGTTTGTGTAGCATAGTCACTACAGGAACCATGTAAGCTTTTTTTTATTTCATGATCAAGATATGTTGGATGTAGGGATCAATTAAAGTATGGCAGTGTCTAAAGAAATTTTGTCTTAGAACAATATCGACGATGTCTATCGTTGTGACGATAAAAAATTATCATACCTTTCCAATAACCCAATTTGACACCAATATCATTGGCTACACCATGAGCATTTTGAACCTCGACATTCACAGTCTTAAAGAGGGAGTTAGTTGTATCCAACTATAACTCTAGTATATTTAATGTGACTTTGGTCACAAAATTGTGAGTTACTCTATAGTCCATGAGTGCACGAGCAAGCTTGTTGTTAATAGTGAGATCCATATACTAATTTTCATAATAAATAAGGTGGATAAATTGTATTCTAATATCTCCACATAGTCCTGTCATACCCAATTGTGTTGCGTTCGAACTTTTCCTTGCTTTTTTATCCTTTTGCTCACGCACCACCTAAAGTCGTGCAGCCCTCCGCATATGTAGCATCCTTTCTTCTTGGACTGTGCTTTCTTCTCGACGTAGCTTTAGTGTCCACTTAACTTTTTAGAATCAGACTTGTTAGTATCTTGAGTCTTGATGTGTTGTTGGTAGGTCTCTTTGATTTTTCCACGATCTCCCCCACCTTTTACATTGCTACCTTTTGACTTCTTGGAATTTTTTTTCATACTCAAAATCCACCATAACTTGATCTATATTCATGACTTATCAACGTTGCAATTCTTACTTAGCCCAATTCTGCAATTTGTCCATAAAGTGAAACAATAAATTATCATTTGTAAGGTTGGGGATTTGGAGCATAAGGATGGTGAAGAATTGACGCTTGAGCTCGGCCTTGAACTGATCCAACATGCTAATAGTACATAGACACATCTCTTCGCATCAACCATTTTCTCCTCCCCCATATTATGACAGTCTCTGATAGGTATAATATAACGATGTTGATATTGGCTTCATCATCCCTTACCTTTCCATGCCTGAAATAGTTCTCTAAGTGTCAAGAAGTTCTTTACTTCTCGTGCATCATGAACTTCTTTGAGCACTGCTGGTGTAGGAGCCTCGATCTTAGACTCTCTTGTCACAACAATGTTCTTGTCTATCTCAGTCATGCTCCCGCCGACCTGCTCTTTGAGTCCTCTATATTTATCTTTATGGCATCGATAATTCTCCATGCCTCCATGAGCCTGCAGTATAAGGATGTAATAGTTTGCCTCAGCTTGATCTCAGCGTACAAACGCCCCTCGAAGTCATTTTGAATGCTTTCAATCTCCTTGAAAGTACTCCCCTCAATAACACTTAATGTGTCCTTCACATTTCCTAAGCATTAGCTAAAGATCTCGACAACATCTATTCCTACATTAACCTTCATAACCCACTCTCTACCAAGCGAGACATCCTTGGATATGACATTCATATCATCTTCACTTGTCTCAATGGCAGATGATTTTTGGGATGTAAGTCCTTCGTTTGACTCAACCCTAGGTGGCACCTCATAACTCTTGTTGGAGACATTTTTCTTTATGTTATGACCTTCTTTGCCAATGACATTCTAGGTGACATTCAGGGGCGGAGCCACTTGTACTAAGAGGGTTCATCCGAACCTACTTCGGCGGAAAATTCTATTATTTATACATGGTTAAAATATTTTTTATGTATATATAGTAGATGTCCAACCCCCTTTCGCTACTTAGTGTGTCTATTTCTACAGATTTTGAACCCCCTTATTGAAAATCCTGACTCCGCCACTGGTGACATTGGCTTGGGACGTTAGCTGCATTGATTTCTTCGTCGTTTGTCATTTTCTTAGTTACAACCTTGTTGTGATACCATGTTGTCACGTCTTCAGTCAGCAACTAAGCTTTTTGTGACACTTGACAACTCACTCACATTTCTGTACAACTCGTTCACGATTTTGCTATGCCTAATCAACTTAAAACACTAGGAATCACTAAGAAAATGATAAAAAGTACATAATAGAATTGCAAGAGAGATTTATATTGAAAAAAAATTAAATTATCTGCTTGATGATTTTTTACAAATAAATACCCCTCTATTTATATTAAAATCAGTTAGGAGCTAATATGAAAATTATAATTATTACTACTATACAAATTGCTATTCATGCAAATTTATCATGGAACAAAAAATATGCCATAAAATGTTTGAAAGGGTAAGGAGGAGTTTCCTAAGAATTACCCGATTTACTGTAAAAACGAGGTAAAACGAAATACTAGTTTTTCTCTATCCTAGTCGATAGTCACGTGCGGTCTGAATCCTTTAACGTTAAGCTTTTCGGCCCTCCCAACAAAACCTACAGTCCCACTCTCTGCTAATCTCTGCAAATACTGCAAACCCTTTCCCCCATAGATACCACAACCAAAGCCCCCACACCAAAATATATATCAAAAATATATAGCTATTTACAAGAAAATGTCCTTCATAATTGCAGCTTTTTTTACTATCTACCATCATCAATTAACAGGATTTGTCTTCACAGTCCCATCACACCACCAGCACAAGAGTAATTATTACACCCTTTTTAGCTCTACTCTTAACTCTTAAATATCTATAAAAAAAATTGAATCTTGAGGCACACCCTGTTTTTCTTTTTTATTTTTAGAGATACCCATTTAATGAAAACTTGAATTTTTGCATGAGGAGATTAAATTCAAGAAGCATTTATCCTATTACCATTGCAGTTGCTCTTTTCTTGGTTCTTAGTATTTGACATTAGTAACTCAGTTCAGTAAATTCTTTTTTTTTTTTGTTTAATGTTTTTATTTCTTGGCCCCAGTTTGTGTGTGTGAAAATAGGAAAGAAAAAAACTTAGCATTTGTCAGCAAGACATAACCACTATTGTACTAGAAAGTCTGAAACTATCAATATTATTACTCTGTAGGTGTCCTTTGGTGTTTGCCCATTTGCAAGTTCTGAACTACTACTATTTAGTAAATACATTGTATTTTGCAAGATTCTCAGTTGGGTAATTGGAGAAACCCTTTTATATGTAGAAAAACAGGGAAAGAAAAAGAGTTTGATTAACTGTTGGTGAAAGTGAAGAAAAGGGGGAAATGGCAGGGGCTGGTGCTGGAGCTGGAGGAACTGCTTCAATGCCATCTATGCCACCACCCCGCCCAAAATCACCACCTCAGTATCCAGATTTGTATGGAAAGCGTCGAGAATTTGCCAAAGTTCAGATGCTTGAAAGAGAAATTGGCTTTCTTGAGGTGAGTTTATTGTCTGAATTTTCTTGTGTTGGTTGGTTGAGTTAAAATTGTCAAATTTGTCATGTCATTCTTGTTTATAGTCAATTTAGTGTTGTGCTGTGTAAACCCCCAGGCTACTATTTTGAGGTAAATGTTTGTCACATCAATAGAATTTATAGTTAAGCATAAAAAAGTTGTTTGATTTCTGCTATTAGACTATCTTTTTTTAGTTTTTCATATTTGTCCAGAGATGGACAAAAAAAGTAGATTGCTTGCTTAATTGAGGGCTGAATCTTTGTTTGATTTGGATTTTGTCTTACATTACCCTAGTTAAACCTTTGCTGGGATATCAAATTGAGTATCTAATCTTCACTGTTGCCCTATGTCCATATGCTAAACCAGTGACTAGAATGTACTGTCATGTACACAATTTGAACGCTGAGCAGTTTAACTTAGATTAATTACTGTCATAAAGACATGCTAATTTGAAGAATCAATTAAAAAGAACAAAAGGCTCCAATATATTTTCTTAATAGAGCTCTTAGACTTTCAGTCTGCTCATTTGCTTCTCAAGTTGTGTGCTTGCTGGTGGAGGAATAACTCAAGAGTCTATTTTGATTGGCTTATTTTAGGTGCTTTAAAGCCAAAATAGCTTTTAAGCAGTTTGGGTTTAGTAAAAAAATGTTTCTAAGCACTTATTTTTAGGTTAAATAAATTACAAAAATAAGTCGAAAGAAATCTTAACTTATGGCGTTTTGCCTATAAGCTGTAAGTTATAAACCCATCCAATAGGCTCTTCAAGCTTTGAGAAAGTTGCATGATGCAATATTTACCTGTTTAGATTCCTCATGTATTTTTTCTGTTAACATATCAATGGAGTTACTTCCACCAGAATATGTACTTCTTGCACATGTAATGCTGCCCAACATTGAAACTTTGGAATCTCATTCTTCAAACTGGTCCATACTTTTCTGCTTTCTCCTCTTGAACTTGGGGACTGGAGACTTCCTGTCCCCCCCCTCCACATGGGAAACACAGAAAAGGATAAAGGTATTAGATTTGTGCTCAACACTTCGGAGGTATCATAATGCATCAGCTTATGAATTTTATCTACGGAAAAGAAGCTTACTTCATAGTTTGATAATTAATTATCTCGACCTATCCCTGACTCTTAAAGGCATTTTCAAAATTTGATCCTGCTATGATTGAAGACAATTACTTCCAAGACTGGTCTGAAAGTCGCATAAGATCATCTTCAACTAACCTACAACCAATAAAGAATTGTCGCGAAATAACCTTGATTTTGGCCTCGCATATATCGTTGACAGTATGCACTTTAGTTTCCTTGTTGGGATAAAGGAGATACAGGTGGCAATTTTATGTGGTGTGTTTTGATGTTTCACAATATGCTAGAGATTATATTGCATATTTTACCATAAGCTTGTTTGTACTTTGTTGTGATTAATGTGCAGTATTTTTAATGTTACAAAGTCTTGCTTAAGAGATTTTTGTATGAAGTTATTTCACTTTGCTCTCATCTCATTTCAATCCAATTCTTCTGAGCAGGAAGAACTGAAATCCATTGAAGGCCTTCATCCCGCTTCTCGATCCTGTAAAGAGTATGTAGAGAGCATATTTTCTACATGTGCATTTATTTCCACATGCTCTGTATTACTGAAGTCATGTGAAGTGAATTTAAGTATGTCCTTTAAAGTTACTCTGTATTGAATGATGTTGACAATTTTGCAGGGTGACAGAATTTGTATCGGAACATTCAGATCCTCTTATACCGACGTAAGATAGTATTCATCAACAGTCACTTTCACAAGTTTTTTTTTTTTGAAGTGGATTTCCAGTATTATATTTTACACCTTCTCATTGCCTTTTTTCCCTCGTAGCAGAATAAAGAAGACTCGTAGATCCTGTTGCTTCTGGAAATGGCTCTGGTATGCTAATTTTTTAGCATTTCTTTTTTGGGTTATACTGAGCATGAAATATGATTACTGTTCAAGATTAGTTATTGGTTTTATTAAAGTGAGATTCATATAAAAAAATAAAGAGATAGGGAGTGATTAGCCTGGCATTAACTGCATGCGAGGACAAGAACTTAAACATCAGAAACTTTTTATGCATTACTATGAAATGTTCTTAGGCTTAATGGATAAAAATTTAGCATCCTGGTAGGCAATTTGCAAAATGTTGCACATAAACTGTTCAGAGCTATATTACCTTTGTGGGTCATGAGCTAGAATAGTAGACAGTACATAGAAACCAAGGTTAGCTGCAACTGTGATCCAACACAGCTGCTTATTTCTCACATTTTAAGTATCAACATACTGTTAGGGATATACTTGCAAGAAGTAAAGCTCTATGTTCAGAGAGAGAGAGAGAGAGAATACTATTGGTGGCTCATAAGCTAGAAAATAGATGGTAAATAGTAACCAAAGTTGGTGGGAATTGTGTTCCAGTGTGGTCACAATTCATATTTTTATGGATTATGTTTGTGCCCTTCCTTCGCTCATAAACATAAGGAGCTTCATGAAATCTAGTTATGGCGATGAACTCCTTTCAGGAAGAAATTTTTTGGTTTATTTATAAACATAAAGAGTAGGAAGTTATTTTTGTGCAATTATAGTGCGTCTTTTTGTAGTATCCATGAGTGTGGCTTGGTGGTCAATGTAGTGGGATTGAGCACTATGAGGTCTTGGGTTCTTTTGATTAAAAAAAAGGTCGGTCTCAGGTTCAGACACCATGGTTATAAAAAAAAAAAGATACTGCATATTTTTGTACCTAGCCTTCATAATGCCAATTCTTACTGGAAAAGAAAGATTACATTAAGAACAGAGTAATTAGCCTCATCTGCATTGGTGCAGTCATGAAATATGTGCTCGAGGATATGTTTTTAAGCCTTGTAATCTGAGCTCTGATGAAGTGCATTCTTTTTTCTTTAAGGAGGATAACAATTAAGAGGTCACATCTTTACATAGACACGTATTTTTCTACATTTTGTGAAATTAGCATGTTGCCAACAGCTAAACAAATTTGCTGCTCTTCTCATTGAGTCGTACGAGACTCAATTCAGTGTTCAGGAGATATATTGAATGAGTTTGTGGCTTCTCGTATTGACACAAGTTTCTTACACATTGTAGTGGCTCTTCATGTTTCAATCTCTCGTGGATTTGTTGCTGGTGCCGATGTCCTAGTATGAAGATGCCTAACTGCTGCTGTAACTGCAATTTATGTAACTGCTGCCCATATATCAGTTGCTCAATACCTAAGTGTCAATGTTTCTCCTGTCCACGGTCTAAATGCTGCCGCAGGCCTGTCTGCAAATGGAGTTGTTGTAGCTTAAAATGTCCTTCTTGCTTTAGCTGCTCCTCTTGCAGTAGCCCATGTACATGTACATGTTCATGTTCTTATCCTAGATGTCCAAAGTTAAATTGTAGTTCCTGTTGTAAAAAGTGCTGCTGCCTCTGCCCTTGCTACTTATGTTAGTAGTCATCATAATATACTAAATCATGCAATAATATTCCTATATCAAACTGCTTCTATAAAATTGTGAATATCTTTGTCTGGAATACCATTTCAAGTTTCCTTGTTTTTATTATTATTACGATAGATGTCAAGTGGAAGTGAATCTTTCTATCGTACTATCTGTCTATTAGAATACTGCCGATTCTATTTAACCCTCTGTGTAGCTTTAAAAAAAAATTCTCTACTTTTAACCTGTCTTGCATCAACCTGTTTTTACCCCTATTAAGTTTTCTTTTACCCCTTTTATTTTACTTGTTCATTTTCATTTACTCTGACTGTCACTTCCCCCACATAATAACTTCTCGGTCATGTCCATCTCTAGTCTTTGAATCCATGTTGATATAGGGAAAATTACACGGATAAGCAAATATATACTAGTTAATTAGTTGAAATAACTACAGTTTTCCTTAATTACAATTTGCAACATACTTTTAGCTATAACTTTGCAGCTTAGTTTTTTTGTTTTGTATAATTTGCACGTTTGTATAATTTGAAATTTGTATAGTGTAATTTTGTATAATATAATTTGTATAACTGTTTAAAGTTCAAAATTAGTGTTTGTATAAATTTGTTATTTCGAGTTTATACAAAAATAGATGAATTATACAAACTCACCCGCGAATTATACGAATCTGTGAATTATACAAACGAGATAGCTTAAACTATAACTACAATATGTAAATATGTAAACTATAGCTATAGAGTATAATTAAATTTACTATAGTGGCTATTTGCGAAAGATTCAATTTGTATATGATACAAAGCCCAAAAACAAGGGTATGTAGATCCATAGTTTGAGCTTCAGTCAGTACCTCCAAATGAGGGATCTGAACAAGGGATACTTTATATGTACTGTTCAAACAAATATTTTGATAAAAATTTAATTGGTGTTTCATTTTGGTCGCTTTATTTAACTAATATTAGTTTGTATGTTGTTTTTTTTTTATGAATATCCAGTATTAGAGAATTTTTAGGCAAAAGTACTTACTTTTTTTCTTTCTGCTTGTGCATTCAGACATATATAATCAGAAAGTTTAGTCATTTTTAGCATGTGTTTCAGTCATATATGATTGAGTGTAGATATGAAAAAATTAAAAGAATGCAAAATAGATTTGTTGTTATTTTGTCCAATTGATGATTGAAATTTTATTCCTTAAGATATATAAAAATTATCTATCGAATTTGAGCTTATTTCAAGTATATTTAGTTTTGAAACTTGAAAAATAAAAATAGTATTTCTTCGATAATATATCAGACACCTGAAATTTTAGCCAATTTCACATGTGTTTTTTATCATATGTATGATTGAGAGCAATCATAAATGGAAAAATTTAAAGTGTGTTTTATGGGTTTGTTAAATTGTTGTTATTTAACAAATTGATTATTGAGGATTGTTATTTTTTGATACATTGAACTTATGTTTCTAATTTGAATAAAATATATTATTAGTATGGCAAGAAACTCATACGCATACACCTGAAATTTTAGTCAATTATAATATGTGTTTGAGATATATATGATTTAAAGCCAAATATAGGTAAAAAAAATAAAAGGTATATTAAATAAATTTGTTAAATTTATTATTGTTTTGACAAATTGTTATCAATTTTGTGTTGTGTGATATATATAACTTATATTTCGAACTTGAGCTTATTTAGAGTAGATTTGAATATTGAAATTCAAAAATATACATAAAAAATGACAAAATAAATTCAGATACACATGTGATTAAGACAATTTTTACATGCATGCACTTCATATATGAATTTTCAATCTCAAATGCATATGGTTGAATTATTTCTAAAAGCAAATAAACTTGTAAAAATATACATATATAGCAGACATTAATTAGATAACAATCCCAAAAACAGGTATTTGTGCACTTTTGCCCAATTGTTTTCAATGAACATAGCCCAATATTTTTTACATCTAGAATAACATATGTTTACATTAAATTTCAGGAAGTCAAATCTATTTTAAATGTTTTTTTTTTAACTTCTTCCCCATGCTATCATTGAACTCTCTCTTTTTCCAATCCTATTTTCATTGGATTTGTTTTTGGGAGTATCCTAAAAGAAGGAATCTTTTCTTTCTTCAGCCATTTCGAATTAAGAAAATGTGAAGACACGTTTATTTCTATAAGTCTTTAAGAGGGATGTGTAAAGTGGAAGAGAATGAATGCCGCCGCAATTGGAGTTTTGAATAAAAGGATCTTTTAATTTATCTTTTCATTTTAATATTGAAAAAGTAATAAGAAATTTGAATATGTAATGTATAAACAACATATCTTCTTTATACAATTATGTATAACCATTGTATAAATATGTATCCATATTGTTGGCCTATGATGGTTTACACACACTATGGTGGTTTAGATTAGCTTCGGATGAATTTACACACACTATGGTGGTTTAGATTAGCGTCAATTTCATTTATATTACACTCATTATACCATGTTAGTTAGAAGTGTTTAATAAGTGGTCAAATCGCAGTGGTACAAGTGTGTTCAATAGGTATAATCAAACATCTTTATAGTGACAAGAAAGTTTCATGGCTGCTATAGTGAGAGACGGATCCACCTGATTGTGTGAGGGTGCAGCTTTACATCATAACTCATTTGGGTGAACTAGTTCGAGCCCAATATTTGTTAAATTAGAAAAACCACTCTTTACTTGTCATCACAGATAGATGTCAGGAATTTTATCTGTTTAATTAGAAAAACAAAAAACACTTTTACTTTACATCACATATGTATTCTTTTTGTTTCCTTCCTACGATTGTTTCCTTCTTTGATTGAGAAAAGACACAGCATGATTTAGAATCTTGTAGCTTCATGTTTCAGCTCATCAATAGTAGCAGCTTGCTGCATTTATTTTCTCTCGTTTTGGTTGCTCCGTGTTTGGCGTTGATGTTGTAGCCATTCACCATGATTCTACCTACTGAGGAGGAGAGAGTTCGGTGTCTCGAGTTGTTGATTTAATTTGTCTTGCCGTATGTATATTTTGTTGCTACTAAACGTGTATCTGAGATCTCCTCCTCTTAACTTCAAACATATTGGAAAAATTGCTACCCTGTTAATGTTTTAGTTGGCCCAAAGAACATGTGTAATAAAAAATACATTATCAGTGAAATGATCATACAAGCAAGGGCTATAATTGCATGCATTGCTCAAAACCCTATCCACTCACATTGCTAAAAGAACACTTCCATTTGCAGCGCATCTGATTACCACAATTTTTGCTGGTAATTCAAAAGGGGAAAACCATACATTACATTAAAAGGAAGAACAACCTTTCAGTTAAATAACTGTGACCACGAATATGAAACTGGACTCCTAACTTGATTTTGAACATTATTCCATGAAATCGAACCAAATGTAGTCTTGCTCATCGTGCTAACACCCTTCTTTGACACAAATGTTACTGTGTATCGCAGCCTCTCTCCTACCCTTTTGAATACAAGCTTTGATGGTTTCACAGTCACAGTAACAGACGGGGGAGCATCAATGACTACCTCATAGGTAGAGCCTGCAGCTCCCACATTGGTCAAGGTACGGGTGTAACGAACAACCCTTGATTTCCCAAACAAAACTGCAAACGATGGATAGTTTATCTGCCCAGGATCTGAAAATTTCTTAGCACAAGTGACATTTGGGCGCTTGACAATGGCTTGTATGTGGTCCATCTCATAGTCCAAGGAGCATAAGAACTTGATGTACTCCTCGGGCCTAATATCATAGACGAGACCCGGGGAGAGTGCCTTGTGAGGATCAACATGACCTGCTCCATGAGCCCATGGAGTGGAAAGTTGATCACCTTCGGCATCACGAAGAGGGGAGTTAGTGGTGTCGCGATTATAGGCAGTTGTCATAAGTGCAGATTTGATTGCACTTGGACTCCATTCAGGATGTGCTGCTTTCAGCAGTGCAGCCAGTCCACTGATATGAGGACAGGACATGGATGTACCTGCAATAGAGTTCAAGATCAAATACTACAAAATTAAATGTCAGATTTTCGAATACTACATCACATTATTTCCAGCTAATGAACTGTTTGTTTCAAGTAGGTCCATATGATATGTTAAATCCATTAAAAAAAAATTAAGTAGGGACCACTAATGTCACTCGAACTCTTCAAAAATATCGCGAAACGCATGTCAAATCCTAATACATTTTTGAACAATCGGACACGGAGAGTGGGATCATGGTATACTTATTAGTGGAAGAGAGACTATCACTATACAAATTGTAAAATGTTGCAAATCAATTGCGAGATCGATCTAATATTTAATTAATCTAAACATGAATAGAGAAAGGAACTATCCGTTGGTGATACTTACCAGACATGATGTTGAACTTGGTCCTCCTAGTATCTTTCTCAAGGCCAGTAGGGCCAATAGCCTCAGACCAAGCTGCCAATATGTTAACTCCAGGTCCAATTAAATCAGGCTTCAATATCTGTGGAGTCACTGTATTAGGCCCTCTTGAGCTAAACGCTGCCACCACCGGCGATGGCTTAACGTTCACCACCGTACCTCCAAAGCTGAGCACCGCAGTCGGATTCCTCTCACTCTTCACATACTGCCTTATCACATTCCCTAATTTCCTCCCAACAGCCACCGCAGGCAATAAGTGACTGTCTGCCACCAGCTCCTCACCACTCTCCACGGTGTTAGCCAATATCATCCCCACCCCACCAGCTTCTTTCACCACTAGACCCTTTTCTACTCTCGCATTAGTCCCTCTGTCACATACCACTATCTTCCCACGCACATCTTTTGGGTTTAGTGAACCAGGCAAGCAAAGGCTAGAGCTACTATCTGTGTTGTAAACTAAGCTAACTAGCTTTTTACCCATCCCTTTACCACTGTATAATGACACCCCAATAATCTTTTTCCCATTACCTAAAACAGCATAAGCAGGGAAATCACGGTCTATGGTTCCAGCACCAACAGTCATAATCCATGGAGCTGTATT